TGGTAACCTCCTCTGGATTTGCCTGGCCGTGTGTGCACTTGGCAGGGAGCCAGTGGTTGGGGGCCAGCTTTGAGTCAACTCAGGGAGTGCACAGGCAGGGGAGGAGACAGCGGCTGGGAAAGGGGACACACGGACGCTCCCTAAAGGCGCAGGGCAAGGGAGCCTTCTCCTGTAGAGCTGGGGGTGGGGACAAGGGGGGGCACGTTCCTTCCTTCACACACAGGACTGGCCGAGGGGCCAAGTTGGCCTTCTTTTTTGTAATTCACAAATTGTTTAAAAGTTTTTATTTGAAAGGGAGGGAGGGAAAGACAGAGATCTTCCATCTGCTGGTTCACTCCCCAAACACCTGCACCAACCAGGGCTGGGCCAGGCAACAGCTGGGAGCCTGGAGCTCCATCGGAGTCTCCCACATGGGGGGCAGGGACCCAGGTTCCTGGGCCATCACCCCTGCCTCCCAGGGAAGGAAGCAGATCCAGGCTTGGGTGCGGCTGCCTTAAGCAGTGTCTTAACCCCTGTGCCAAATGACCGCCCCCACGAGTGGATTTGACTGTCCATTGAACTAGTCTTAGGGGTACTGTTGTTTCTGCTAGAATACTTTTTTGGAAAAAAAAAATTATTTGAAAGGCAGAGTGACAAAGAGATTCCATCTGCTGGTTCACTCCCTGAATGGTTGCTAACAGCCAGGGCTGTGCCAGGCGGAAGCCAGGAAGTCCACCCGGGTCTCCCAGGTGGGTGGCAAGGGCCCAAGTATTTGCTTTCCCAGGTACATCGGCAGGAAGCTGTATCAGAAGCAGAGCAGCCGGGACTCAACCTGGTGCTCTGGTCTGGGGTGCTGGTGTTGCAGGCGGTGGAAGCCTAACCCGCTGCGCCGGGCGCTGGCTCCGGGATACTCCCAAGGCTTCCGCACCATGTGCTGGGGTCAGGAGGCGGGGAGCCGTGGGAGCCTGTTTGGCAGAGCCGAGAGGCACAGACTGAGGCCCAACGGAGACAGGCGGCATTGAGAGCGGAAGACACAGGGCGGGGCTTCAGCAGAAATGACCTTCGTTCTGTCTGTGATGATTTTGTGACTCCTGGGAGCAAATAAACCCCAGCTCGTTTTCACAAAAATTTTCACTTTTGCCTGTAGCTTTCTTTATTTATTTATTTTCTATCCCAGCCCTTGGTGTAAAGAAGGGGAGCAGGCACCGTGCCGGCGGGGACAAGGCCTCTCAGGGGTCCTTTCCTGAAAGAGCTGGAGGGGGGGACACGGCCCTTTCCTGTCTCTGATGTTTCAAAGCAGAGAGGCGACCTGACTGTGCGCCTGCGTGACGGCTACAGGAAGGCTGAGCCAGACGGGAGGGCTCGGAGTACAGATGACCTTCCAGGAGGCAGCTGTCACCTGGGCCCATTGCGCTCCATCAGACCCAGGGCGCGACGGACAGAGAGAGGCAGGCCTGCCCAGACCGCCTCGCCCTTACCTTTCCAGAAGCTCCGGCGTCCCCACTCCCGGACGTGGCTTCTAACCACGCGGGCAGAGCCGAGCCCGATCTAGAGACAGCGAGGGCGGCAGCCAGGGCCGTGCGTGCCCAGCGACAGGCCGAGGCCTGCACCTGCTCTGATGGGGTGGCTAGGGCAGTTCCCTCCTCAACTTTGACGAGCGGTGGCCACATGCAGAGGCGGCGACACAGGGAGGACAGCGCAGTTACAAGTGGGCACGGGCCTTTATTCTCAGTGCATGGCAGTACTGGTTTCTGCTCATCAGCAAGAATTAATCGTTCCAAAAAAAAAAAAAATCCCTTTGAAAACTTTGCTCTTCTTGCCTTCTCAGTGGAACACCACATTTGAATGGCACATCTGCCAATATATAGCACCCCCCTCCCACCCCAAGAACCATATAAATACATGCGAAATATTGTCCACAGAGCTTAAAGATACCAAGATGCGATACAGGCCGGTGCTGAGCTGCAGTTGAGCCGCAAACACTGGGCACACGTCCTTTGTTTGTGTCATGCAGGCCACAAGAGTCAACCTTGTGTTTTTCTCTTTTGACAAAAATACCAGCGCTTGTTCTAGTAGCTAACAAAAAGGACAAGGTGGAACTCCAAGTCTACCTGCGTGCGCATTCCAAGAGCACACGCACACAGGTTTGTTGGCACGGACATAGGGCGTATGCACACGTGGCACACACACACACACACACACACGGGGACGAGACAGGAGCCCCGGGCCGACTGGGTACGGGGGGCTCATCTCCCTCCGCCTCCTGGAACAGCAGGCCCGACGGCAGGGGTGGGAGGGCAACAGGACTGGCACGGAGCCACGCGGAACCGAGGGCCTGGTCTACTCTGGGGCGTTCCTCAGCGCCATGGCCTCCGTGTGGTCCCCACGCGGGACAGGTGAGGAAGTGCGCCGAGGGGGATGGTCCCGGGAGGGGGCGTGCGAGTGTGCCCGGCCTCGCTGGGTTTTGGGCAGTGAGGGAATCGCTCAGACTGACCTGGGCAGACGTTCCCCTCTTGACGCTCCGGGGGAAGAAAGCCAAGTAATGAAGCCTCCCTGGACCCCTCAAAGATGGGGGACCCCTACGGGAAGGGCTCAGCCCTGGGCCAGGACCAGTCACTGCTGCCCTGAGGCTGAGCCCGCTGTCCCCGACCCAGCACAAAGCACAAAACCTTTCTAGGGGAGGGAAGGAGCCTCAAATCAGGTGCGCGCACCAAGACTCACTCGCGGAAAACTCCCAGGGGAACAGGAAGTGAGAGAGCCATAAAAAGCAGCGGACCCCAGACCGGAGCGTCCTAGGGACTGGGAGGTGGTGCTGGCCTGGGGAGCACTTGGCCTGCCATTCTCTGAGAAACACACCGCGGGCAGAAGGTCCGGGCTCTAACGGCCGGCTGCCAGGAGCCTGTGGCTTGTGCGGGCCAGGCTGCGCTCCTCCCGGCCAGCCCGGGCTCCCTAAGCTCACGGGAGAGGATGCTAGGATGGCGCTTTCTCCCCTCCCCGTCAGACCCTTTCAGACCCAAAGCGCCATTTTGGGGAGAAGCGTTAGGAACTTGTGCCGTATCTGCTCACTGCCAATTGGATCGCTGAAACTCAATAGAAAAAACTTACATAAAACAAAATATATGCACATAAACACTGAAACTTAATTCCATATCAACAAAATTTATATTAAAAAAGTCTAGAACCCGACAGATTTTCCCCCCCTAAGTACAAGGATGGCTGTTTGGCGAAAGGAAATACAGTGCGCTGGCTCTGAAACCAACGGCAGAGACACGAGGTCACCCCTCGTGTCAAGAGCTAGGTGCGCACTTCCTTCCACCGGGTTCCGTGACGGCACTGGATTGTGAATCCTTTAAATACAAGACATATGGCTGACTCAAAAATATCAGTTTCTAATCTAAAGAAGACTATATTTTTTTGCATAATATTTCTGTATTTTCTTTCCTATGGAAACTAGCGTGCGCGCACACACACACACACACACACACAGAAACCATTGACTTTAAAAACCTAGACATGGCCGGCGCCGCGGTTCACTAGGCTAATCCTCCGCCTTGCGACGCCAGCACACCGGGTTCTAGTCCCGGTCGGGGCGCCGGAATCTGTCCTGGTTGCCCCTCTTCCAGGCCAGCTCTCTGCTGTGGCCCGGGAGTGCAGTGGAGGATGGCCCAAGTACTTGGGCCCTGCACCCCATGGGAGACCACGAGAAGCACCTGGCTCCTGCCTTTGGATCAGCGCGGTGCGCCGGCCACAGCGGCCATTGGAGGGTGAACCAACGGCAAAGGAAGACCTTTCTCTCTGTCTCTCTCTCTCTCACTGTCCACTCTGCCTGTCAAAAAATAATAAATAAATAAATAAATAAATAAATAAAATAAAAACCTAGACCTGAGCTCTCCCGGGTCACCTGTCAGGCGCGAGTCTCAGGAGCAGAAATGGTCGAGGAGGAGAGGAGCCCCGAGCTTCTTATTGGCTTTTTAGAATGATCTGAGGTACTAAAAGACTTGACAGAATTCAGTCTTCCGGTGTACTTAATAAATATTTATGTGAACACCTTACACCTTGGGTGAGCTGTTTATTATCCCCCTGTGGGTACTGAAGACAGAGAAAAATTGCTGAAGCACGGAACCTGCACAAAACCAAAGCCAAGTGTGCTTTTTCTCTTCCCTACTAGGATGGATTCTGCAGCAGTGCGGGGTGCGGTGGGCGTGGCTTCCTTGCTGGTCCCGCCTTCGACAGACAGCGCAGGAGAGTGGGGAGAGGGAGCAGGGGTCTGGGAAGGGCTGGAGCAGGTGGCTCAGGTCACCTCCTCCCCCAGCGGGATTCACACGCCCTGGAGCCCTCTCCATTTTCTTCCCATTGCTCTCGGAGGAGGGGAGTGGGCTTCATTTATTACAGGGGACGGAATGAAGTTGGGGGGCCCCCTCCCATGTGCCCCCACCTGCCCCAGGGAGGAACACTGAGACACCCCCTCGCAAAGCCCCCAGCTCCTGAGGGGCAGGTGGGGAGGGCAGCGCTGGGGAGAGAAGGCACCGGGCTCTCCCCCATGGCAGCCGGACCCACTGCTGGCAGGGGGCTCGTGGGGGGGTGGGGGGCAGGCGTGCAGGAGGAAGGCGAGGGCAAGGGGGCGCTGCGGGGTGGGCCTTTTGGCCCCTGTGAGCCGGTCAATGCCACAGGCTCCCCCACTCTGGATACACATCTTTCAAGGTAAGAATATCTGAGAAAGGCTGGGATCTTCTCAGAGAGGGAGGAACAATGGGGCACGGGTAAGAGGCAGACCCGAGAGCCAAAGGGGATGCGTGGGCTGGAAGTGCGGGGCTTCTGGTCCCTGTGGGCAGGTGCTCTGGAGTCCTGCTGCAAGGGCCCGGGGGCTCCCTCAAGGCTTCGGGATGCTCACTCGCCCAACCCTTGGCTGATGGCTTTGAAAGCAGCAGTTGCCCCCAGGAGCCTGCTCCGAAGGCCCGCCAGCTCCTGGTTCTGGAAATCCAAGTCCAGCCAGGGGGCGGGGCACCCCCAGCTCCCCCTTCTGCCATCCCTTGAGGACGAGGCCAGGACTCAGGCCCCTGGTAAACTCTCCCGGATGTGTGCAGGCGCCCCAGCGGAGGCCGCGCTCCCCCTGCACCTGAGCCTCCCCAGCCCCGCCCGCCGGATGGCAGTTTAGAAGCAGAAGGTAGCCCGGCAACAGCAGGTGACCTCGGCAGCCCCTAGCTGCTCCCACAGGACCCTTCCTCAAGGGAGCCTCCCTGCCTGTGCAACTACACCGAGATTTCTACCGGGCCAGGAGGGAGAACGGTGCCGGTCCGCGCGATGCACCCACGTCCTCTCTAGTCTCTCAACAGACACAGCGCTAAAAACAGAAACAAGCCGGGGGGAGGGAGACGATGGGGCTCACGAGAGACAGAGAGGATGCCGGGCAGGTGGGGCCGGAAGGGCAGGAGGAGCCAGAGGCCCTCAGGTGAAGCGTTTAAAACGGGACAGTTGTTGTGAGCTCGCTCACTCAGCCGGCTGACTCCACACCTCTCCGCATTTCATCTGGGGCAGGCTGTCTGTCTGTCTCAGCTCTCAGCGTGGCTGATCACCGGCCCAGACCCGCAGGGCAGCATCCCGAAGTCAGGAGAAGGTCACGCAGCTGTGAACACTGGGGTGGGGGTGTCGGGGGTGGGGCTCGGGTTGGGGTGACGCCCAGAGGATTGTCATCATTTCACCACGGACAGCGGACGCCCCAGGAGGAGACTGCCAGTACCCACCCGGGGTTTGACTGGATCCTGCTACAAACCCCAGCTCAAGTTTTGGCTGCCATCCTGGTAGGTCTCTTTTTATTCATCTTTTTTGTGCTCAGGTGGGGAGTGGGGTGGGGTTCAAACACACTTGGGAGCAGCTGATGTGACAGTGGCAATTCGCATCATCGCCTTACGGGAAGAGCAGATGAGAAGGGGTGCAGGGGAAGCAGAGGTGGGGGTCCTAGAACGAGCGTTCACACGGAGGTCTCCAGGCTGTGCAGAGGGCTGTCGGAGCAGGACGCAGCGGCTCCTCGTCCACCGCGTTGTTGCCAGGCAGACAAACCAGTGTTTACTTGTGTGGGCCGCATGCAGGCAACGAGAACCTCCAACCGAGTGAGCTGCCCTTGCGGTCAGAGGCATGCACGGGGTCACATCCCATAGCCTCCGCTGGGCCCCCTTCCCCGAGAGAAAACGGAACTTGACTCCTTCACTCCTCCCCTGGACGAGGCTAAAACACAGTTGTCAAAGGACGCTCTCCTCCTGCCTACGAGGGGAGGCCTGGCTCCCACAACCCAAATCCATGTCCCTGTCTCTGCGCCCAACGAAGCCCCTGCCTCCAGCTGTTTGCAAACTGTGAAGAGGAACACGGTTCCGCATGGAGAAGGGACAGGGAGAGACGGGGCGGGGAACCCAGTCCAGGAAGCTGTGCTGCACACGAGTGGCACATCCCAGAGGGCGGGCAAGGGGACTGCACCAGCCCGCGTCAGCCTTTGTCCTCCTGCACCGACAGGAAGGGGTCCAGAGGGAGAAGCTGATGTGGACTGATGTCTGGGACCAGGATCTGCTCCTTGGGCAGCTCCGCTGTCCTCACCTGTAGCTCGCTCGCTCGCTCTCCCTCCCTCTCTCTGAGCCTGGGCTGGGAGAATCAGGGTAGGGGGAGAGGACTGGATGCCAGAGAACCTGGAGGGGCGTGGCCTCAGGGCAGCTGTAGCTGCGGGGAGGTGGCTGATCCTGGTCTCCTCTGCAGGGGAAGCTGCTGAGGCTGGGGCGGGGCGGGGCGAAGTGCTGAACACTGGGGCAGGGCATCTCTCTCGTTCTGCTGCTGCTCAGGCAGAGCACACTCATGGAGAGGACCTAAGAGTGTGGAGGAGCCAGCAGAGCAGTCAGCCCCGGGGCCGGCGCTGTGGCGTTAGCGGGCTAAGCTGCCACCTGCAGTGCTGGCATCCCGTATGGGCGCTGGTTTGAGTCCTGGGCTGCTCCACTTCTGATCCCGCTTCCTGCTAATGCACCTGGGGAAGCAGGAGATGGACCAAGTGCTCCACCCTCGTGGGAGACCTGGAAGAAGCTCCTGGTTTCAGCCTGGTCCAGCTCTGGCTGTTGTGGCCATTTTGGGAGCAAACCAGCAGATGGAAGACTTTTCTCTCTCTGTTTCTCCCTCTCTAACTCTATCTTTCTAATAAAGAAAATAAATCTTTTTAAAAGAAAGCCAAATAAATTAGCTGAATCTCCTGTCCTAGGGCTTTCTGCCACTGTGTAGAACCTTCCAGAATACTGGGCAAAGAAGGCTCACCGTCAGTACGGTTGGTCCCTCCTCCCTGGAGAAACCGCACGTCCACTGGCTAAGTTTTCTGCTCTTCCTCGTCCCACCACGGCCTGCAGCCCCCCTCAGCAGGGACGTGGCAAGGACTTCTTGCCGCTCAGTGGGATCAAGCAGCTTAACACCTCAGCTAGGAAGACTCAAGGAGCCGGGCCACACGCGCCCCTGACTGCACAGGACTGAGGACCCACGTTTCCGTCCTCCTAGGATTCCTGCTGTGCACCCGAGGGTGGACTGTACCTGCACGATGCCTCTGCTCCCGATCCCGGTGAGCCCAGGGGAGTGGAAGCTCCACTGGCGTCCAGCGAGCTCCCGCTTCCCACGGCTCCACGTCAGATCTTCGAGCGAGGCAAGTGGGGTCAGGTGGGCCCAAACCAACGCCTTCTCTCTTGGCCCCGGGGGCTACCCGGGCAGATGGACAGGCCCCAGCGCTCCCACCTGCTGCAGAAGTGCAGCCCGCCCTGCTCATCATTTTGGGATCTCAGAACCTCTAGGGGGAGCACTACAGGACGGCGTGCGCCCTCAGCGTCAGTGACGTCAGACTTCCTACTTCTGTTTTAGACGCAGGTGAGGCCTTCCTGAGACAAGTCCATGGGAAATCCACTGTGGAAAACAGACTTTTAAACAAACTGGGGCTGGAATGAGGGTCTGGAGTCCTGCTTGCTGGCTTTTCCTCTCACCTGCTGGGTGGCCAAGCATTGTTATAGGAGATAAAAAGTGATTTGGGGATAAGCAGATGGAAAAGGTAGGGGAGGCTTTTGGGGGAACAAGGAAGAGCCATCCAGCCTAGACTGCAGACCTTCGGGGATCTAAAGGGACACCGGGCACCTGTAAGGGAAGCTGAGTGTCAGAAAGCTAGGGCCCCCACCGGGCCAGCGGCAGGAGAGAAGGGGACGCCCGTGGGACATCACCGCCCCAGGTCCGCACCCTCCCTGCAGCGTGGTGTGTGGTGCGGGGACAGCAGTGGAGGCAGGACAGGGCTAACGCAGCAGGCGGGCGTCGTGCAAGCTCTGAGCCCCGCCCACTCAGCCGACCCCCCACCCTCCCTGCTCATTCGGGAAGGGGGCTCCTTGAGGACAACTCCTGCTCCTATCCCAGGAGCCCCGAGCAGTGCCCGGGCACTCTCTGGGGTCAGATGGAGACCCCCCTTCCTCGGCTGGAATTCGGCTGCTTTCTGCTTCCTTTCCAGAAAGCAGGGGAGGAAAGGCCCGGGCTCTCCCTGGAGAGGGAGGCCCTGCACAGCCGTCCCGTGAGGGTGGGACAGATATTCGAACCAGTAAGATCCGGAATGGGAAAATGCCTGACCCTGACTTCCCGGACTTCCCAGGAGGAAGGCCGGGGCGGCCTGCCTGTGCTCCGGGCGTCTACTGGAGCCAGCACGCGGGCTCCCTCCTGCTCAGTCTCCCGACACTCACCCTTCCCGCCAGAGAGGGAAGGAACAGACGCCAGTTAGCAGGGAGAGCAAATGCGGAAGAGAGGCGGGATTAAGACAGTAACGTGGGAGGCCCGAGGGGGAGGCTCTTGGATACTCGCGGGCTGACACTTCTCTTGTTCTTTCTTGCCTGCCTTTGAGCCTGTGGACGCAGCACGTGTCTCTGTCAAGCCCCACCCCCGCAAGTCTGACACCAGAACACTTATGGTTGGCTCAAAAATCTAAACGAATCCAGCTCTGGTCAACCTGCCCGGTTCATAATGCGGCAAGCCACAGACAACGCGAAGGCTCTTCCTGCGGCTCTGTGCCGGGGTTGGGCACGGGGCTGGGCGGGGTGGCCGAAGGCGCGGACTCGACTCGACACGCAGATCTGAGAAGCCCCACGAGGGACTCACTACCGAGAAACTCCTTCACGGCCCTGTCGGGGAAGAGCTGGCTGCCTTCCTGCGTTCCCCTCCGGGAAAAGGCCCAGTGACCGGGGAGAGGAGAGCACAGCGTCAGCCAGGGTCTGACAATCTACCACCGGGACCGCCTGCTCTGAGCCCGAGAGCGGATGGCACTGCAGCGCCAGGCTGGCTGGCAGAGCGGCTCCTAGACTGCACGTGCAAACGAGACAGGAAGGGCTGGCTACCGGCGAAGCAATCGAACCAGAGGAGAGAAGCAAAAGAGGATTGCTCTTCCAGAAACTCCTAAAAAAATAGCTTAGTTGATGACGTAAAACACGTTGTTTTGATCCTTCCACGTGCCCAGAAGTGAGCCAGTAGATTCTTAAAGTGAGAGCTTGCTTTATTTATGGGCCCTGCAAGGTAAAAGGTCCAGGACCCTCCACCCTGAGCTACCTACACCTCTACGGCTGTCGGCTGTCGGGCTACTGCCGCCGGGGGCGTGCCAGCAGGAGGGCTGTCTGAGCAAGCCCAGAACTAGCTGGGCTACGGCAGGTGCAGCCGTCAAAACCCACGGGCACGATGGCTCTCTGTGTGCCTCTCCTCAAGCAATCCCCGCGTCACCCTCAAGTGAACAGACTCCCTGGGTGTCCACTCAGCCTCACCTTGCGTCTGAGCTTAGGAGGGAGAGTTTAGACTCAGAGGGAGTAGAGGAGCAGCGACATAGCCAAACAAAGCAAGAGACAAAAAACAAAAAACCCCGAAAACAACAAAAACAAAACAAAGAGGCAAAGCAAAACAAAAACACAAGGAAAGGAAGAAACAAGCGATGCAGAGGCACAGGCGGAAAACAGGATTCTGGTCTTTAAAATGCTTAAGGTTTAATAGCTTTTCAACATTGAAAAATAATAATCAAAGGGCACACAGCCTGGTTTTAGAGTGGGACTTTTGTCTTTTCTTCCCTTGGGTCAAAGGTCAAAGGGAAAAACCAAAAGGAAAAGCTAACCACGGTGGGTTAGGGCGGAGGCCGCGTGCTCTCTTGTGGTCATCTTAGCAAATCATGCATCGTAAGAGACTCTCACTCACTGCCCACAGTAGGAGATGACGCGGCAGCAGCAACAGAAGTGGTGGGGGAGGTTCTGACTGGCGCAACCGACACATAGGACGAGCTAGGACCCAGTTTTACGTCAAGGTGCTGCCCCATGGTCTGGCGCCTTAGGACTCCCTTAATAGAGGCTCCCGTCTGGAATGTGTTAATTACTTCGATCTGCAAAGAATCAGAGAGTGAGACAGCTTTGCTCCCCAGTGAGAGAGAGGGTAGGAGAGCGAGGGCGGCCGGTGGGGGGCTGGGGAGGGCACAGGAGAGAGAGAGAGGAGAGAGAGAGGAGAGAGAGAGAGAGAAGGAGAGTGGCTCACACACAGCAGTGGTGAGGGGAGGGGGGTGCTCATTGCATATGGCACTTCAGTTAAGGAACGGTTACCATGGAGCCAAATGCCCGCTCAGGACTCAGAGCCCGGCTGTGCTGGGCATCTGAGTGTGCAGGTGTCCTTGCGTCTTCAGAGCTCAAAGCGGGCTGCCCCGCCTCCGGCCCTCCTTGCGCTAGGCAGGGCCTGGAGCCTGCGCATCGTCCTGACCCCGACTGTGAAACAGAAGGCGCTCAGCACCTGCACCAAGTCAACCGCAGCCTCTGTTTGCAGGTTCTCCAGGGAAATAACTCACGTGTTTCAGGAAAAACCCAGGGGGTGTGGCAGGCCGTACAGAGGCGGCCGGAGTGGAAAGGCGCCCGAACCCGAGACTCCTGGGATCACGGAGTCTCCTGGGATCCCTTTCCCCAGGCTGAGGGGGACAGGGCCCGTGTGCCCGTGGCCAGGGAACGCGCTGGAGTTCCTGAGCGTCCAGCAGTTAGCCCGGGGTGTGGCAGCCGAGGCTCCAGGCCTGTGCCAACGTCTCCTCATGGGCAGGGCAGTGAACGCATTCGCTTCCCAACAATGGCCTTGATCTGCCGTGGTCACCCCTGACCCGAGGGAACAAGGCACAGACCAGAGGGGAGTCCCTGCTCTGTCGTGCACCTGCAGGAATCGTGCCTGGCGCGCCCACATGCCTAACGCCCAGGTCATCTACCGGGGCACCCGGAAGGATGCTGCCTCTCTCGCCTGCTGCACCTCCCCGGGGGGTGGAGGCCGGAAAGCGGGCACCTTGTGAACAAAGGGTTGTTCTCATGGGGGGCGGCCTTCAAAAAGCTCATGGAAAATGCAAATGATGAAAAAACCATGATGCATGGATAACAAGATTTTTTGCACCAAAATAAACGTTACCTTTTAATTCCACTTTCCACAAACTTTTTGAAGTACCTTTGCATTTATGAAGCTTCCTGAGAAGCCGTGAAGTGTTCTGGGCTGGTTTCTGGATTCGGATTCCAGGGAACTGCGGGAGGGCAGGTCTGGCACAGGGGAGGTTCCAGTTCCATGGGGGGGGGGGTGCTGCAGAGACCCCCTAACTCAGTACTCATTCGGGCAGCTGAGTCCCAACCTTGACAGTGAAACTGGACGCCAGCTCACCTTCCCAAGACTCTGGCCCTTAAGTTTCTCAAAACTTCTGCTTTCTAGAGCTTTTAGAGTTCAGGGAGAATAATCTAGAACCAGGACTGGATAACAGCTTGGCACACCTCCAGTCGCCAGGGGTTGCGAGGACCATGACAGTGAGAAGCAACTGGCTGGCAGGGATCCTGTTAGCACCCCCTGGGGCCGAGGGTTTGGAGCCACGAGGGGACACACAGCTGCTCACAGGGGCAGGTGCCCGAGGGGGTGGCATGGCCGTGGTCACTGCAGCATCCCTGGCCGGTTGTTTCTGTGGCCCGGACTGCCTGGTGCTCCAACAGAGAAAGGTCGTAGGCCAAAGCCAGGCAGCCAGTGCCACCAGACAGAGAGGTGCATGGTCAAGGGGACAGAGGCTGGCAGTGGAGGGAGAGGAGAAGCCGGGGGCCTCAGCCCCCCAGGAGAGGAGACGGGCAAGGAGGGAGCGAGGAGGCACTGCAGTGAGGGGCTCCTGGTTAGGAAAAAAACCACGCAATGGAAGAGGAGGCGGGTGTTCCTGAAGGGAAGAAAAGCAAAGAAAGGTTATTTTGGAAAAGAGTAGACCCCTGGGAAAGCACAGGGGCAGAGATGGGAGCCGCGGGCACCAGGTTCTAGGGGCACTTGACGGACTCGGCAGCTGGCGGCTGGGGTGGGCACCGTGCACACCCCCAGGGGCCTGTGCGGGTCCCGCTGGGGTGCCCCCTCTGGGAGGAGGACTCGAGTGAGGGGAGAGCAGCCGCAGGGCTCCCCTGCCCGGCCCTCATCCACTTCCCCGTCTGCCGTCTTGCCCGTGGGAGGCCCGGGCCTGCTGGGTGTGTGGCTGGATGCTTGCGTCTGCTGGGAGGCGGGCCGCACCGGGGACCTCTCTGAGCCAGCTGCAAGGCCAGTTTCGAGGCTGAGCGTGATTTTTGGGATCAGCGGAGGGAGACAGGCCCAAGACGGGGAACCTCGGGATCGGCACAATAAGGTGTGTGGGGTGACGGCAGGGAGAGGCGGAACGGACCAGCCCGATCCAGAAGGGAGCCTCGGCTGCTGCGTGGAAGGTGGCAGGAAAGAAGCCACTCCGAGGTGACAGGCAGGGACTTGGGAGCAGCAGCAGGAGCCGCTTCCTAATCCCACTTCAGAAATGGCAAAAAGGGAAGAGGTTTGAAGAAATGACAGCTTCTTCCTTTTCGAGAAGCAAGCCGGAACCCTGCAAGAGACGCTCGGGCGTGGGGACGCTGCTGTCACAGGGCGGGAGGTCTGAGTGGGAGGTCAGGGCATGAGTTGGTTTTCCTGAGCTCCCTCCAGAGAACGGCGATTCCCGTAACGGCAGCGCGGGGGCCACCACGCGGCCTGCGGGGGATGCTGGCCCAGGATCTAACTTCCTCCTCCGAAGGGGTAGGGACACTGCCCAGTTTCTACCCTGGGGTCTGGTCCAGTGCTTGCAGGAAGCTTGCCCATCCAACAGAGGGCGGCAGAGAGCGCTCGAACCCCAGCCCGCAGCTCTCAGGCTTGGCAGACAAGGTCCCAGGGCCCAGGCCCCGGGACTCCCTGCCTCCCACAGCTGCCCACGCAGAAACCCCCATCTCTGTCCTGGAGCTCGGGAGCTGGGGCTGCCATGGCCCGGGGAGAGACGCCGGCCGCCCGCCACCCTCTCCCAGCATGGGGTGGTGTCCTCCCCTGGGGCGAGCAGAGACCACGAGCGGAGTACCTGGGTCTGGATCCGGTTCAGGCCCCGGAACCAGAGGATCTGGCCTCGGCGCAGCTCCATCTCGGCGTGGTCGATCTCATCCAGCCCCTCGGCGTCCTTGCTGATCTCCTCCTTGGTGGTGCCGTGCCCGGCCTCCTTCAGGAACTTCAGGGATTGCGTGGGTATCGCAGAGATGATCTGAGGACGAGAAGAGCCGTCACCTCGTGGGAGCCACCTCGTGGGGGCCGGCCCGCGGGCAGTGACAAGCCGGGGGAGAGAGGATGTGGGAGGAGCTGGGCACGTGGTACACGCACGGCCAAGGCGCAGGGAAAAGGCCTGGGTGAGAAGGATCTTCTGGGTTCCCACTCCCACCGCAGCCTGTGTGGTCAGCCTCGGGGAGGGGGTACCCCACGCTTCCACGGCGTGCAGCGCCCGAGCAGACTGTGTGCGACTCAGAACAAGTCACTGGGCGAGCTGGGGGCGTGGGCAGGTGGGGCTGGCACCGCGTGCTGAGAGGGGAGGAACACTTGGGCTTTGTGCTGCGATGCTGGGAGGGGCTGGGGGCTTCCGAAGGAAAGCTGCCGCGTGGCATCAAGGCCTGGGGGCGGCCCCACGGGGGACCGGCAGCAAGAAAGCGACACAAGGGGCCGGCAGCAGGGCAGCCTGGGGCCCGGGCTGCTGCTGTGTTCCAATACACACAGAGGAAGAACTCTTCTACTCCTAAGAGCCTCGATTAGAAACCACAAGGACTGGGTGCGGTGTTATGGAGCAGGGGGTAAAAGCCATCGCCTGCTGCACCAGCATCCCACATGGACGCAGCTTCCTGTCTCGGTAGTTCCACTTCTGACCCCGCTTCCCTGCTAATGGCCTGGGAAAAGCAGAGGAAGATGGCCCAGGTGTTGGGCCCCTGCCACCTATATGCGAGCCATGGAAGAAGCTCCTGGCTCCGGGCTTCAGTCTGGCCCAGCCCTGGCCACTGTGGCTATCTGGGGCAGTGAACCAGTGGATGGAGGATCTCGCCCCCTCTCTCTCTGTAACTCTTTCAAATAAATAAATCAATCCTTTTTTTTTAATATCGTTTATTTGAAAGACAGAGAAAGAGAGATATCTCTTCTATCCACTATTTCACTCCCCAAATGTGTGCTACCAGTCGGGCAGGGCAGGGCTCAAGCCAGGAGCCTGGAACTCCATCCAGGTCTCCCTCTTGGGTGGCAGGGGTCCAGGTACCTGGGCCGTCATCCGCGGCCTCCCAGGGAGAGCACTGGCGGAAGCGGAGCCAGGCCTTGAAGCCGGGTGCTCTGATACGGCAGGTGGGCTGCATCAAACGCGGCCCCAGACCCTTCGTTTTTCTAAAGCTGAGTTCCACCGCAAAGTCCCACGCCCGCCTCAGGAAGCTAAGGGATCTGCCTGTGCCCAAGCACGGGTAGAGAGGAGGCCAGGAGTTTCCGACGCGCGGGCCCCGATGCTCTCACCCCGGAAGACGGAGGGGACTCGAGGACTTGGGTGAGGAGAGGGGAGGGGAGGCTGAGGGCAGCTGGGAGCCCCCGCAGGTGCTCGTCCCGTCTCACACAGAGGAGAGGGGTCTGCAGGCCGTGCAAACGCGTGGGGAAGGCACGCGGCTACTCACCTGGCCCCACAGGAGTTCTCCGATCCCAAAGAAGAGACACCACAGCCACTGTGACAGGCTGAGCTTTGTGCAGCTGAAGGGCTTGCCCCCAAATTCCACAATGAGAACCTAGAACAGAGAGCGGCGGCCCTCTAGACATGGCTGGCTGCAGACGCCACGGCTCCCCGTGCCCTCGCTGGGAGTTCTGGTTGGCTCGCTGCGGGAGGAGAGGGAAGCCTGGAGGGGGAGTGGGGAGGCGGGGAGGTGGGGAGAGGGGAGGCAGGGAGAGTCCACAGAGCAGCTGGACGGGCAGGCAGGCACACGTGCTGTGCTCGTGACTCCGGTAAGGTCAGAGCAGGGGCGTGGGGGCGTCCTGGGGCTAAAGCCAGCGGGCGACCAGGAGAGTGCACAGCATGGAAGGGGGGCAGCGAGGGAGGGACCCTGCTGAGGCTGTGGCTGGACAGGGGGCTCCCAGTCCCTGGTACCCCCAGAGGGCAGGGAGGAAGGGGCCTGACCCTTTTATCTCAAGGGTCCCCATCTCCCTGACCCCAGTTCCCAGGCTGGACTCACTGCCAGCCCCGTGCCCCTCCCATCACTTCTCTTTCTCCGTGCCTTGCACGGCACTGTGCAGCAGAGCCCTGGGAACAAAGGGGCGGGGGGGAGCCTACACCTTGCTCGCACGCACACTACGTTGCCAGGAGGCACGGAGGTGGGCTGGAACAGCCTGACTGACCGTCCCCTGGTCACTCTGTGGAACGGACGTGTACTTAGGAAGGTAACGAAAGGATCCATCTTGTCTTATTTGCATGCAGCACGTTGCCTTGCGCTGGAGCACTGGGCACACTGGGCTCCCGTCTAGAGCAAGGTGCGCGTGGAGCTAAACTGGGAGCCCCAAGTGCGTGTCCTGCGGCCGCAGCCCCACCAGCTGCTCCCTTACTCCCTCTCTGAAGTACTTAGGGCGTCCTGGCTCCCAGCCTGTGGTCCCCGCCCCCGCCCCGCTCCCGATGGGCCCTCACCTGGCTGATGAACGTGCCCAGGACCACCGAGCAGAAGATGAGGTTGTGGTAGATGCCAGCGAACACGTTCCTCTCACCGTGGATCTTGCGGGAGTTGATCTCGTTGAAGAGCTGCATCAGCACGAAGGTGTTGAAGACGATGGTGTAGTGCTGGCTGGGCGGCGAGTGGAGCGGGGCCTTCCTCCCACTGTCGATGTGGAAGAACTTCTCACCTGTGGGGCGAGGGCAGGCTGAGTGGGAACACGCTGGCATGGCTACCCAGGGAGTACATGGCTCGTGTGCACCCCAGGTGGGCAGCAGCTGAGCCGTCCTGGCTCCTCCTACTTTAGCAGCCAGCCCTGCACTCAGCCTGCCTGCATGGATCTTCTCCTTTGTTCCATTTATCTATCTGCCTTCTGGTGAAAATAAAGCCAACCACAGTAGGGCTGACATAGTTTTGCATTTTAGGGCCCCTACAGACTCATCCTACAGAATCATCGTCTGTATGACCTGAGCCACAGTGTTCTCGCGGGATGGAAAGGTGTAAAAACCCACCCTTGTGAAATTCTTCAGTGCGCCGGGCAGTGGCAATGCAGGCAGTGCTCAGCAGGTGGCGCCATCACTCCGGATCTGTGTCACCCTCTTTCCAGGGGCCATTCTCGGCCTCCATCTCCCTCCAGCACCCCCACCGCTGCCCCAGCCCCCGGCCCTGGCTCACCAGCAAAGACCAGGAAAAAGATGATGGTGAGCTGATAGACGGCGTGGCCCAGGATGTTCTTCATCATGGTCCGCGAGATCAGGGGCTTGTTGCGGCCGTAGGGGCGCCGCCGCAGCAGCGCGTCGGTGGGGGGCTCGGTGGCCAGGGCCAGCGAGGCGAAAGTGTCCATGATCAGGTTCACCCACAGCATCTGCACGGCTTTCAGCGGGGAGTCCTGGTGGGAGGAAGGTGCGGTCCCTTCAGCTTGCCCCAGGAGCGGCCCCTGCCCACTCAGGAGACCCCCTTCCGCCCCCGAGCTGGGTGGCCTCGCTCCCACTGTCCACCTAGACTTCCAACCTGGCCGTGCTGTAGAAATGCACCTAACCTCCGGGCCGCAGATGGGCCGGCAACACCGCCCTGGCACGGCAGTTCTTGGAGAACAGACATGGTGCACCCTCGTGTTGGTGCCCACGGTGCTGGTCAACACATCAGAGCTCTGAAGGGTGGACAGTTTATCTTCACTGGAGACAGTTGGCCCGGGGGCTCCGACATCGTGGGGACGCCCAGTGTACGGCGCGCTCCCCGGCCCCTGCCTTGTCTCCCTCATCTGAGCCCACCGCAGGCCCCACTCACCTGAGTGATGCAGGCGCCCGTGAAGGCCACGATCACGGCCACCACGTTGACGGTGAGCTGGAACTGCAGGAACTTGGAGATGCTGTCGTAGACGTTCCGCCCCCACATCACGGCCTTGACGATGCTGGTGAAGTTGTCGTCGGTGAGGATGATGTCCGAGGCTTCCTTTGCCACGTCTGTGCCTGCAATCCCCTGGGTGGGGGGGGGGGAGGCGGGAGGGAACCCGGTGAGGGCCTGGGCACCTCCGGAAGCCAGACTCCACTTCCTGATGGCCAGGAAACTTCCAAGCTGGGTGTGAACACTGGAGGGCGCCCCAGAGGAAACGGGGGCTGGGTGGGGGGTGACACGCTGTGCCAGGGTCCCTACAGAGAAGGGCCGAGAGGGAGGGAGCCCATTCTCCCTGCCTAGGCCTGTTGGGAGCACAACTACGCAAAAGCGAAGTGGCTTGATGCCTTCACGGAACCTGATGTGCAGCCCTAGCAAATATACCTGTGGGCGGAAGACCTGGAAGAAGGCAGCCGGCTGGCTTTAGCTGACTCAGTGGATCAGTATTGTTACTGCTGTTTGGAAAGGATGACATATAGTTTAGGATAAAGCGAACGATGATTATGTTAATGCCACGACGAGTCAAAGTGTGGAGCGTACGACATACAAATATAAAACCAGGGGGAGTCAAATCAAACCAGCAGGGTAGAAACTGGGAAGTGAGAATTCTCTCTTCCGAATGTGAAGGGGAGCTTGTTTTTGTTTTTTTTTTTTTAACTTGAAATATTCTTGAAAATAAACAAGGGCAAGAACCAACAGGAGACAGTAAGAGCGTAACTCTTGGCTTTGCCTCTGAGAAGGCCTGGAAACAAGGAACACCCTCTGGCTCCGGCTCTGTTCCCCACTGAACGGGACAGGGACTCCCAGGAGAAACGTGTGACGCCGGGCGCAGGCTCAGGCATCTGAGCTAAGGCCTGGAGAGAACTGTGGGGGCCCCGCACTCAGCGGCACAGGGGCTCCGCGATGCTGAGGGGGCTTCTCCTGGCTGAGGGTGGGGCAGCCTGAGCGCCAAACACACACGGAACACACCGGAGAGAAACACACCGGCTACGCTTAAACCCACGAGGCTGTAAAATCGTGCTTAGAAAAAAACTCATCAGTCACCCTTGGAGGTTCCTAAGAAAACCAACTCGTCATCTTGAAAACTGGGGAGCGGAACAGCTAAGCTGCCTTTCACGTAAGAACTGAACCACACAGTAAGCTTGCTTCGTATAGAAGCAAAGCAAATAATTATTAATAGAAGTAAACCCATCAAATTACTTTATTATCCTTTTGCAGCCCCTAATGAGAGGAGGGATCTAGAATCTGATTGCTTCTAGAACTACTCACTTACAGGGATTACAAGAAGTGAGGGGAAATGTAAAGGGACATTCCAGGGATACGACCAACAAAATCCACACTGTGGGACAGCCTATGTAGACAAGCAACACAATTCCTTCAACGCTGAATCGCTGGGGGAAAAGGACGGAAGGGGTTGTGTAGGAGCTCACATCACTGGCCTGGGACTGCTGTCCTTAGATAGGCCCGTCTGCAAGGCGGGCACTTGGCTGGCGTCCGGGAGCCTGGCTCTCCGAATGCTGGCAGTGAGTTAGCTGGCAAGGGAGGCGCGCTGGGTCTAGGCCGCGCCCAAACGGCGTGCTTCATCTGAGCACCTGCTTCCCCGCCGGGGGCCTGCGGTTCTGGTGCTTGCCGGGCAGGAGGGGCCTGTGTGACCAGTCCTAAAAGAACTGCGTGTGCGGAGACCGGGATGGGCTGCCGGGGGTGGGAACATCACGCGTGCATGTTGCGGGGTTTCTGCAGATGGCGGGAAGAGGGGACTCCGGGAGACGCCCCGGGAGGACAGCGCAGCCAGGCCTGGGTCCCCACACCCTGCCAGGCTCCTCCCCACATCACTGGCACCATCTTTCTGTTTATTTAAAATTTATTTATTTTTATTTATTTGAAAGGCAGAGTGACAGAGAGGGAGAGGGAGTGGGATAAGGAGAGGGAGGAGAGATTTTTTTTAAAGATTTATTTATTTGAAAGGCAGTTACAGAGAGGCAGAGAGAGAGAGAGAGAAAGGTCTTTCATCTGCTGGTTTACTCCCCAGATGCCCTCAATGGTCAGAGCTGGGCTGATCTGAAGCCAGGGGCCAGGAGCCTCTTCCAGGTCTCCCACGTGGGTGCAGGGAGGGGCCCAAGGACTTGGGCCATCTTCTACTGCTTTCCCAGGCCACAGCAGAGAGCTGGATCGGAAGTGGAGCAGCCGGGACTAGAACCAGTGCCCACATAGGATGTCAGTTGTCAGTACTACAGACAGCGGCTTTACTCGCCACACCACAGCGTCATCCCCAGAGGGAGAGAGACAGAGACAGAGAGAGATCTTTCACCCACTGGTTCATTTTCCAAATGCCCACAGCAGCCAGGAGCCAGGTGGAAGCCAGGAGCCAGGAGCTCCATCCTGGTCTCCCGAGTGGGTGGCAGGGACCCAAGCACTGAAGCCATTATTTCTGCTGCCCCCCAGGGTGCACGTTATTACCAAGAAGCCAGAGAGGACGGGGAGGTGAGAGTTGATCCCAGGTTCTCTGGTATGGGAAGCAGGTGTCCCAAGTATAGGCTTAACCCCCTGAACCACAACACCTGCCTCAGGCTATAATAAATTTTTTTAAATATTTATTTTATTTATTTGAAAGGCAGAGCTCCAGAGAGAGCGAGGGAGACACACACACACAGGTCTTCCACTCACTGGTTCATTCCCCAAATGGCTGCAACGGCCAGGGCTGGGTCAAGAGCCAGGAGCTTCTTCTGGGTCTCCTAGGTGGGTGGAGGGAGCCAAGCCCTTGGGTCGACCTCTGCTCGCTCAGGTGCATTAGCAGGGATCTGGATCAGAAGTGGAGCAGCTGGGACTCCAACCAAGCCCTTATTGGGTGCTGGCATCGCAGGCGGTGGTTGTACCCACTGTGCCTGTGGGGAGCAACTGGGAGCAACTCGGACTAGACTAAGTTACTGGAATTAAGACTTATTCTATGCATCTGCTCTCCCACAATATGGCGCTGGGAGAGGAGGAAACAGCTTCTACACAGCTGCCTCCAGTTCAACCAATAAACTGTAGCACCTGCTCCTGATTGGAGGAGAGCAGCGTACTCGGCGTGTGGGTAGCAGAGTTGGGATTGGTGGAAGAGGACTATAAAGGAGGAGAGAGACAACATGCACCAGGAACATCTATCTGAAGGAACACCTGAGCAGCCCCCGAGAGAGCCGGCCAGCGGTGTGCCGCTCCCCCGCGGAAGTGGGGAAAGTGGCAGGGGGAACCGCCCTTCCACGGAGGTGGAAGGGACGGTAGCCAACCCGGGAAGAACCAGCAGCAAACCCGGGAAGGGTCGAGCAGACAAAAGAACAGCGCAGGGTCCTGTGTCATCCCTCCACGAAGAGGGGGAGCGACAGTGCCACAGTGCCGACCCCTGCAGTAAATCTTAACCACGAGTACAACCATATGCTGAGTCCTAATGAGTACATGAATACAAGAGTGGTCTTCAGGACGCTCGACACAGGATTCCACAGGATTGATGGTTCTCAACTTTTGAGTGCATCAGAATCAACGAGAGGGCTTTTATAGATACATATTTCTGGGGCCAGGGTTGTGGCACAGCACGCTAAGCCACTGCCTGCAATGCTGGTGGTTCGAGTCCCGGCTGCTCCACTTCCAATCCAGCTCACTGCTAATGCGCCTGGGAAGGCAGCAGGAAATGGCCCAAACACTTGGATCCCTGCCACACACATGGGAGAAAAGGATGGAGATCCTGGCTCCTGGCTTCAGCCCAGCCCGGACCTGGCTGTTGCGGCCACTGGGGGAGAGAACCAGCAGATGGAAGCTGTGGACTGAGATGCGAGTGATGTACCCACCGCTGCAGTGCATGGATCTTTACTGGATTGTGATTTGGACAAATAAACTACAAAACAACACTTAGGAGCCAGCTGGGGCAACGCGAGCAGACTGGCCACGTGACAGTAAGGGTCAGTCTTGCTAGGCAATAATGGCGTTATCTTTCCTTTAGACACATTTTACGGACACACACTTATCATGAAGGGACATGGTCTGGAATTTTTATGGATCAAATGACACTGATGTCTTGGCTTGGCTTCAAAATAGTAAGTAAGCTGGGAGCAGGCTGCTGGCCTCGGAGCTGCGCCGGCCGGTCCCCCAGCAGAGCGCCTCTGGCTCCCGAGTCCGGCTTCCTGCAAAGCAGACCCTGGAAGGCTCGACCGCCTGGCTGCTGCCACCTGTGTGGGAGACCTAAACGGGGCTCCTAGGGCCCAGCTGTGGCCTCGTCCAGCCCTTGTTGGTGCAGGCATCTGAGGGTGAACCAGAGGACGGGTTTTCTTGCTCTGCCTCTCAAAGCAAATAAACAACAACAACAATAATAATAATAATAAAAACCTCAGGTGTGGATAGTGGAAGTGGGTGGGACTGGCCACGTGTGGATCGTTGAAGCTGCCAGACAGACATGGAGGTACGCTAGCCAACTCTGCTTTTCGGCGCACGTTCACACGGAACACGGCTATAGCCTGGGCACGCGGCTCACGCTCACACGGAACACGGCTGTAGCCTGGGCACGCGGCTCACGCTCACACGGAACATGGCCTTTCTATAGTCTGCCCAGGCGGACATCACCATGTTTCAGTTGCTCTTGCTGTCCCGGGTCACGATCCTCCGTGACTTCCCTGCCTGTGCCTGATCCGTCAAGCCCGGCGGGTCTCCCGTCACACGTGTTAGCAGGGGCCAGGTAGGTGGGTGGGAGAGACGTAGTCAGGGGAAGGAGCACATAGAGGAACAGGAAGCAGCTGGCCACCGGAAGCGTGTCCCGGCCTCCCGACGGGGACGGCAGCTTGCCATGGGACAGGGACACCGCGCTGACCTTACCATGGCAAAACCAACGTCTGCCTTCTTGAGGGCCGGCCCATCGTTTGTGCCATCACCGGTGACAGCCACCACCTGCCGCTGGTCCCCAACGGTGCTGTCAATGATGCCTGAAAAGCACAGACACGCGCCCCGGTGAGCTCGAGGCTGCCTGGCGGCTTCCGCCCGGCGCTGCCTCCCCGCCCCCACCCCTGCACGCCCCTCTCCATCCTCTCTCCCTTCCGCTGCTGCAAGGAACCTCCCAGGGCCCTCAGCTGCGGCTGGGTGGCGCCGCGGGCTGGGAAAGGCTGTCCTGTGCCGAGACGAGAACAACACGGGGAGGATTTGAAGGCAGACAGCTGGGAGTCGCCTGCGCCACTCTCCCCCACGAGTGGGCAGGCCGGGAGGGGTCCTGTCTCCTCGGCCACACACGTCCCTTGTTGTATCCCAGAAGCGTGGCCCTGCCCTGACCTGTTCCCAGGGCTACCGGCAAACAAGACGTGAGCAGGCTTCAAAAACCCAACACAGCCGCAGGATCTGGCCACCCAGGGCTCGGCTGCTTGCTCTCCCCATCCGCCTGGTGCTCTCAGGACAGGAGACAGCCCCCTCCTGCCTGTGGCCGCCGGCACCAGCTCACCTTTCACCAGCGTGTGTTTGTCTGTGGGCGAGGACCGGGCCAGGACCCGAAGCTTGGGCCAGATCTTGTCCAGCTTCTCTTGTTCTACCTGCCAACGCCAGACACACCGTGGCTCAGCCAAACACGCAAAGCCACCTGGGAAGATCTGTCTGTGCCACACACGCCGAGCTCTGAGAGATCTGGGGCAGACAGGGAGCGCTTCTCCCGGCCCTGGAGGAGGTGACGCCAACTTAGTCTCCAAGGACAGAGCTATGGATGGCGGCCACCGGGGTCAGCTGCTGGCTCCGGTGGCTACAGTGGTGCTTCGGGGTCTTAGGTTTGATTTCTACGTAGACCAGGAAGCTTTGTTCTGCTCCACACCTGGGCCATGGCCTCTCACAGCCTGAGCCACTGGGGGGCCACACGGCAGGGGCGACGGAAGAAGCCGAAAGACACAAAAAGTTGGCTTGTGAACGATGCCAACAAGAAGGAAGACAATGGCCTGTTTTGCCAAGTGAGTGGCTCTGGGAGAGAGGGACACTGGACGTGAGTTTAGAAACTGGCTGCCTTCTCCCAGTGCCCCTGATGCCTCAGGCTGGTGCCTCCCACCCAGGACCCACCTCCAGCCCAGCCTTCGTCCCCAGGGAGGCCCAGGTGCCTCCCACCCAGGACCCACCTTGAGCCCAGCCTTTGTCCCAGGGAGGCCCAGGTGCCTCCCACCCAGGACCCACCTTGAGCCCAGCCTTCGTCCCCAGGGAGGCCCAGGTGCCTCCCACCCAGGACCCACCTCCAGCCCAGCCTTCGTCCCCAGGGAGGCCCAGGTGCCTCCCACCCAGGACCCACCTCCAGCCCAGCCTTCGCCCCCAGGGAGGCCCAGGTGCCTCCCACCCAGGACCCACCTCTCCCTTTTCGTTGCGAATGAGTCGGTTGAATTCTTTGCCTTCTAAGCACAGGAAGTCATCGCCAGGTGTCAGGATGCCACATTTGGTGGCGATGGCTCGGGCTGTGTTGACATTGTCCCCGGTCACCATTCTGACAGTGATGCCAGCTCGCTTGCATTTGGCGATAGCTTCTGGGACCTGTGGGGGAGTGAGGAAAGGAGAGGTGGAGGTGGCAGCAGTGGCCTCTGGTGCCTCCAGTGTGGACAGCAGAGAGGCCGCGGACACGCACTGCCCCGGGCATGGGCTAAGTGTGGGCACTGCTACATCCGGGGTTTCCTCACTTCCGTCCACCCGCGACGGTCACATTGGGATAGGTCCTGTTGTGCCAGGAGATGAAGGGGAAGTTTGCGGGGCAGGGGTACAAGCTCACCCTTGCACTTACAATCCGGGCTCCTCGGCAGGGCAGAGATGGCATCGGAGACCACCCAGCAGCTATCTGTCCCACACCCCGACCCACTGAGCCATGCTCACCCCCTCAACCCTTTGCACGATCCCCTCTCACATCCCTGGGCCACGCCAGCGAGGCTCCGTCTGCCTGAACCTGCCTGCAGCCCAGACGTCATCAGCTCCCTAGGAGCCCGGAGAGCGCTCAGCGCCCAGGGGATGTGCACCACAGGGGTGTTGGCTGAAAGGCGGTGGCAGAAGTCAAGGCTGGTGTTCCAGCTGATCGCACCAATGGTGTGTCCGCTGATAGCTCCACTTCTCCCTGACTTGCACGCCATAAACCCCAGAGTGCTGCCTCCCATCACCCACCACCCCAGAGCAGCTCTGGGGAACTGGAAGCCCCGAAACACCTCCTGTTGTGAGCGAGAGGCAGGTGATCACCCGCATCTTGCTTCCCACTAGGTCACGGCTGGGCCTGCACATGGTCCCCACCACCCTGCCCCAGGCCAGGCCAGCACCTCACCTCTGGGCGCACGGGGTCCTCGATGCCCACGACGGCGATGCAGGTGAGCTCGGTGAGGACCTGGCTCTCATTGTCCCAGGAGGGCTCGGCGTTGTTGAAGTCCCGGTAGGCTATGCAGATGGTGCGCAGCCCCTCGCAAGCCATGGGTTCGATGACGCTGCGCACCATGTCGTCGCGGTCCTTGTTCTTGAACGGGACCGCCTCCCCCTTCTTGTCCAGGATCCGATTGCACCTGGGGAGGTGCAGGGTCAGGAGGCAGGGTCCCCCCTCCCACTCCAGGCTGCTGCCATCCCCACCAGGCGCTCTGGCCGCTCGGCTTTATTCCTAATGACACCGCTTCATGGCCAAAGAGCTCCTCTAGCTGCCACCCTCTTTTCAAGGCGTCCAGGATGCATGTGCGTGGGGCAGTGCCCAGGGGAGCAGGAGCTGTGACTCTCCCACGTCATCTGTGCTCTTGTTTTTTGGCCAAATATTTATTTATTTATTTGAAAGGCAGAGTTACAGAGAGGCAGTGGTGGGGTGGGGGCAGTTTGTGGGGGTGGAAAGGAAGTCTTCCATCTGCTGGTTCACTCCCTAAATGGCCACAATGGCCGGAGCTATGCGGATCCAAAGTCAGGAACCAGGAGCTTCTTCCAGGCCAGGTCTCCCACGTGGGTGCAGGGGCCCAGGGACTTGGGCCATCTTCTACTGCTATCCCAGGCCATAGCAGAGAGCTGGACTGGAAGTGGAGCAGCCGGGTCTCGAACTGGCACCCATATAGGATGCCAGCACTGCAGGTGGGCGGCTTTACCCTCTATGCCACAGCGCCGATGCCGTCATCCATTCTTACTATACGGGAGGGCACATCTGAGTTGCCAGGGGATCACCTGCTCTTTGGAACCTCTTAAAACCACCCCGACTTGTTCAGTCCCTGCTATTAGAAGACTGCTCGGTGCTTAGGGGGCTGCTGCATGAGGACATGTGTGTGAAGAGAGGGTGCCCGAAGCCCATTTGGGCACTGGCTGGTTCAGACCAGCTGGCCCCACATCCAAGCGGGGTCAGCTTTCCATGGCTTATGGATGTCTGGTCCTAATCACCTTTTAAGTTAATGCAACTTGGGCCGGTGCTGTGGTGTAGCGGGTAAAGCTGCTGCCTTCAGTGCCAGCATCCCATACAGGCACCGGTTCGAGTCCCAGCTGTTCCTCTTCCGGTCCAGCTCTCTGCTGTGTGAAAAGCAGTGGAAGATGGGCCCAGGTGCTTGGGCCCCTACACCTGCGTGGGAGACCCAGAAGAAGCTCCTGGTTCTCGGCTTCAGATTGGCCCAGCTCCGGCTGTTGAGGCTATTCAGGGAGTGAACCAGCGGATGGAAGACCTCTCTCTGTCTCTCTGCCTCTGTAACTCTGCCTTCCAAATACATAAATAAATCTTAAAAACAAAACAAAACAAAAGCACGCAACTTTCCTTCATCAGAATCGCGGACAGGTGTGACGGGGAATGATTTCCACCACGGGCCGTGTGCACGGCACCTCACCGGCACGGCTGGCATCGTTTCGGGAGAGCGTTCCTCTCCCTGGGTTCGGATGGCGAGCTGGAGGCTTCGCTGTCTAGGGTGCACCTGGCCGTGCCACTACTGCCTGTCATCACCCTGAGCAAGCTGAACTCCCCTGGGCCTGGCTTCTCCCCTGCACAGAACAGGTCAGAACTGGCCCTGACCTCACTAGGGTGAGGACTGAAGGCAACGGGCCACGCAGAGTGTGGGAAAGCAACGGCTGGCTGAGTAAATGCCAGCAGGCTCGTGGGGCCGTGCGGGGCCCGTGCGGGGCCGGGGGAGGGGAGGCAGGGGGCGGTGCTCACTTGCGCAGCATGATCTCCGAGGCGCCCTTGCTGTACATTCGGAAGCCGCCGGCGGGCTTCCGGACGACCGTGCTCATGGACTTGCGCACCGAGTTGAAGGTGTACACCTTGTAGAGCTGCTCCTCGGGCACCTCGTTGCGCACCGCCTGGTAGTCCTGCTTCAGATCTGCGACAAAGCCCAGCAGAGCACACTCGGTCTTGTTGCCCACCTGCCGCGGCAGGCCTCCCTCCTTCTCCGGAGGCTGAGGGAGAGAGAACACACAGGGCACCGTTGAAGACGCCGCCGGCCGGGGCTGGAGCACCAGGCAGGGGAAGACCTCCCCTGCAAATCTTGCCCGATCACACCCGGAGTGTGGGGGCGAGGAGTGTGGGGGCAGCGGTGGTGACGGGGGTGGGGGGGTCTTTGTGGAGAGCACGCAGCACGGTGGTCAGGAGTGAGCCTGATTCCAGGGCCATCCGGGATTTCCCAGCTGGCTCTAGCTCGTGTCTCGCCCTGTGTGGCTCTTATTCCCACACCCGCCCTTTGTTCTGAAGTGCGGATTTTTTTTTTAAACAGGCAGAGTGGACAGTGAGAGAGAGAGACAGAGAGAAAGGTCTTCCTTTGCCGTTGGTTCACCCTCCAATGGCCGCCGCGGCCGGCACACCGCGCTGATCCAAAGGCAAGAGCCAGGTGTTTCCCCTGGTCTCCCATGTGGTGCAGGGCCCAAGCACCTGGGCCATCCTCCACTGTACTCCCTGGCCACAGCAGAGAGCTGGCCTGGAAGAGGGGCAACCGGGACAGAATCCGGCACCCTGACCAGAACTAGAACCTGGTGTGCCGGTGCCGCAAGGCGGAGGATTAGCCTAGTGAGCCGCAGTGCCGGCCTGAAGTGTGGAATTTACTGATGGGCCCGATCCTGCCGCCAGCGTGAGTCCCTCCCGAGAGACACTGCCTACACGTGGCCGCTGGGCCCCAGGTTCTGACGGCTCCTCGGTGCTCCAGCTACCGCCCCCATGTGGCCCCAGGGAGTCCCCTCCCTGCCCCCTGCCCGCCCCCCACCCCGAGTGTGCACGTGGAGGAAGGACTTACCAGGATCTTGGATGTGTAAGCGCTGTTGATGGCAATGCCGTTGATGATGAGGTCCAGGACCTTGGGCAGGAAGACGTTGGGGCTGGGCACCTGGTGGTAGTGGGTGCCCCCGACGTAGGCCTGCACCACGGTCATGCGGTTCATGGTCAGCGTGCCGGTCTTGTCGGAGCAGATGGCCGTGGCGTTGCCCATCGTCTCACAGGCGTCCAGGTGCCGCACCAGGATGTTGTCTTTCATCATTTTCTGCAAAGGGGAAGAGACGGGAGGTGGCTGACCGGGCTCTCCCGGATACAGACCCAGGGGCGCTGCCCAGCCAGGTTCCCGCCCGGAAACCTGGTGACTCTCTTAGGATCCTGCTGGGTTATTTACACGCTGATGCAACCAACTGAGATGCCCACCACGGCGGAGGCCGGGAAGTCCGTGTGAGCCGGGTCCTCCCACCAGGGGCTCACGACACCCTCCCCTCGTGTCCGGTCGGCCCTGCCGCACCTTTACAGAGTAGGCCAGGGAGATGGTGACGGCCAGCGGCAGCCCCTCGGGCACGGCCACCACCAGCACGGTGACGCCGATGATGAAGAACTTGACGAAGTACTGGATATAGACAGGGGTGCACTCGGCGAGCCACGGTCTGCCCTGGATCACGAAGTTGTCGATCACGAAGTACAGGATCAGGATGACGACAGTCACGGCGGACATGATGAGACCTGTGCGGGGAGACGGGTCACGGGAGGCTCCAGGGGCGCTGCCACTTCAAGGACATCACAGCGGGAGGGGGAGGCCCCCGCTCTAAAAGACACAGGCTCCTGTCTCAGCGCTGCTGGCTTCTGTTCCCTGGCCACGCTCCTCGCTCAAATACGGGGCTTGGTCTGCCTCCTGGAGCAGCCTTCCACAGGACCCACTCCACCCGACCTGAGACCGCCACACTTCCCCTAACGACATGCTGACCATGTCTGTCCACGGCCTGGCAGCTCAGCGACTCCGACTTCTCCCCCACCCGCCTGTGAGTGCCGGGGTGCTAGCCCATTCCCGGTGCAAACGAAGCCCTCGGGACGGTGCCTTTGACCAAGCAAACGTTCGTACAGCGCCCACCTGTGACCAGGCCCAGCCCTCCCTGCAGCTCTGGGATGCAGGTGACTGTTAGCCCCTTTTTAAAGAAAGTAAGGCCGGATGGTCTGCCGTACTGACGCTGGTGAGCGACGGTTTCCCAGGATGTGGACGGCCCCAAGCCCACCGGGGCGGTTGGTCACCTTGCACACAGAGGTCCCTGCAAGAACTCGCTGAGGGTCAGCCAGCAGCTGGCCGCTCTGAGCGCTGGAGGGGCCACCATCAGGGCCCACCTGTGCCTGGTGGGGGCAAAGATCTGGGGAACGCTCTGCTGTAAACCGTGCTGGGTCTGGGCTCTACTGTCCTGAGCCCTGACGGACTCCAGGGCTCCAGAGCAGGGCTCGCGTGAGCAGGTCGACTCCAGCACATTCCTGGTACCCTGCTGGGTTAGGGAGGGTGCAGAGTTTCAGGGGGTGCTTGCTCTGCAGGGGGTGGGAGGCACCGCAGCTGCCCACTCTAATCCTGGCCACGATTGAGTTTGCCCCTGGAGAAGAATAAGCCTGTGCCGGGCTCAGTGATGTCCTGCCATTCGTCTCATCCACGGCAGTCAGAACCACAGCGCCAGGACAAAAGGAGGGGGCGAGGCCAGCGCTGCACAACAGAACCTCCCATGATGCTTAGCACGCTTTCTCTTTGCGCTGCTGGCCACGTGTGACCACTGGCCAAGTGAAATGTGGCCTACTGTGACCGAGGGACTGGGCTTTTGCCTTTTTCATTTTAATCCATCCCAGTGGACATAGCCACAGGTGGCTGGTGGCTGCCGCGGCCTATGCCACGGGTCCAGTGGGACACGGCTCCCCAGACTCGTGCAGAAGCTTAAACCCTGAAGCCTCACGTTAGCAGTGAACGGGTCACCCATGATGGGGGCCCAGCAGGTGTTTGGGTCACTGGGGCCGCCCGGGAGGGAGTTCTCAGGGGCAGGGTTGGTTATCTCAGCCCAGTTGGCCCAGCTTCTCGGCTCACCACGTGACCGCACCTGCACACCCACTCTGCCCCGGCCCGCCTCCCCCTGACCTTGAGCTGTGACCCTCCAAACTGAGATCCGCCACCTCCGGCCCCACACGCTGCTCTCGGTGAGTCACACAAAGCTGACCCGGTGCGCCTGGTGAGCCGGCAGCACGGGGAGGCCAGGTGGAGGCAGACCCGCCGCACCGGCGCCTCAGCGAGAGCCCCATGCGAACAGCACACACAGAGGTGTGCCGGATGGGAGGGCGGGCTCAGATAATGAACTCCTTCTGCTCCCTCCCCCCATTGGCCCTGCTGAAAGAAGGTGGGGGGACAGAGGCAGAGAGCACACACAGGGCTGGTGTGGGGGAAGCCACCTGCTCACCCTGCACTCACAAGTGCATTAGGCGACCTCCGGACAGGGCCCCTCCGACCCTGCCCTCTTCCTCTAGCGTGTCCGCTGCCCCGGGCTCTGCCACGTGCCGCGGCTGCTGCTCGAGGGAACAGCCGAACTTCGGCCCACGGCAGCCTCTCCTCGCCTTCGGGACGTGGAAGCCAACACAGGGCAGGAGAGCAGGCATCTGTCTGTCTTCCCACGCTGGCCTCACACACGGGGAGACGCCGCTCTCTCAGAAAGCCCAGGGGGTGTCCGAGGCGCGGCAGAGACAGGGCCCCAGCCAGCCAGACCCCACCCGGCTCACCGGCTTTGCCGATCTGGACAGCCGGGCACGTCAGCTTGCCCTGCAGCACCGACTTCTCCTTCTTGTGCACCTTGCTGGCCTTCTTGTCCTTGTCCTCGTTGTCGGCCCCCTCCTGGCTGTTGAGTGGCTGGATCTCCAGGGCCACGCCGTCCTGGGTCTTTGCTAGGGCGCACAAACAGGACACGTGAGCGGGCAGGGGAGCAGCATGGAGCAAGGGGCAGGCAGGCAGGAAGGGAACAGCCCCCAGTGTCCTGACATCTGCTCTGACCACGCCCGGCCTGTGCTGGACACGGAACCTGCCGTCAACCCCCTATTAGGGCCCGGGGGTGAGCGTCTAAGCACTGGAGCGGGGGTGCTTGAGGGTCCTGGATTTCCGTTCCAGAAGCAGCTTCCTGGCAGCCCCTCGGAGCCCCAGGCCAGGTTGAGTCCAGCAAGGCCATGCATCGCGGCCCTGAGTGCCGATGCCAGTAGCCATCCTGCCTGGAACCCAGGGCTTAACATCTCAGACCCTGGATTATCTTCCAGCTCCTTGTATGAGCAGATGGAGGGGGGAAGGAGGACCCCTCCCTGCCCTGCCTGACCAAGGCCCCCCCGGGGGGTCCGTGTTTTGGGGGAGAGGGAAGTCGCTGGTGTGAGGGGTGTCCCTGGAGTAAGAGAAAGCCGGGACTAAGACGGACGTGGAAATAAACGCACTTTGCTTTTAAAAGAAGAGTAAAGGAAAACCAGCAATGACGGACGGCCGTGTCTGGCCCTGGTTCTCCAATGCAATGCTTTTTATTTCTAAAGACGACGGTGACGTGGGGCACAGAGGAAAGCAACCCCGCCCCTGGCGCTGTGGTCCCTGCGTGGCTCAGCCCGCACTGAGGCCAACCTGCCCGACACGTTGTCATGCCCACACACACAACGGAGACACGGTGCAAACACGGCGACCGCAATAGAGACACACAGCGGACCAGGAGGAAGACAGCCTGGAGAGAACGCAGAGCGAGGTGGGGGGAGGCTGTAGCCCAGCGCCCCTCGGAGACCAGCAGAGAAGACCCCGGTGAGGAAGCCAGCAAGAGGAGGGTGCAGGGACTGCCCACCCTGACTCCCTCCACCGGGAGGACCCTGGAAGTCTCCCGACTCCAAAAGGATGGCCCTTGGTGTTTTAAAAAAAAATCCAGCTGAGGGCAATGAAGCAGAGTTAGGCACCCCGGAAAGAGCAGATCCTCCCGGTGCCGGGTGAGACCTCGACGTAAGGCTCCAGGAGCCAACAGCAGAGGGCGCTCTTGCCCCATCTTAGATTGAGCCTGGGCACCTCCCCACCCCATCTCTGCACCTTCCTCTGGGTGAGGCGTCCGGGCCGCAGCAGCAGGTAACAGGTGTATGAAGAGGGGAAGGGAGAAGGCGGATGGCCTGAGAGGTCTGGTTTGAGCGTGGACAGGTAGAAATGGCAGATGAGTGTGTGAAGAGGTTACCTTTGTTGTGATTTTCAGGGACTCCTTGTTTTTTACCTGTTTGAACAAGAAAGAACAAAGTGGGGTGGAGACCCAAAGTGGCCAGGAAGAGATCCGCTGTCCAGCCTGCTGGCCTTGCTCCGAGCCCAGAAAGGCGCCAGCCACGGGGCTGGGGGGAGGTCGGGTCACAGCCGGGCCTTCGTTTGATCCCCATGGACGCGGCGGCTGTCCCAGAGCCTGGGGACACTGACCAGCAAGGTCACAGCCCAGCCACCTGCTCTGGGAGTGTGCCCGGGCTGAGTCGCACCGCCTGGGAAAACGGGGGCGGCAGGGTGTTGGGGAGAGGGGTGTGAGCGAGCGGTCTGTGCGGATGGTGGCAGCCCGGGGGGTGGGGGTGGGGGTGCAGGAAGCTTCCTCCTTATCCGTGTGGTGGGTGCAGGAAGACATAGTCTCTCCCGAAAGCAGTGGGCTGCCCTGAGCGGCTCCGGCCAGGGGGCAGAAGTCCCCTCTGCCCGAGAGAACTCTTCCCCTCCTGTGATTCCTTCCAAGACCGCTCTCCCACTGACAGCCACTAGAACGCCCGGCCCCGCCCCGAGGGAGACAGCGCGGGCAGGAGGACGACGCGGGGGAGTGCTGGGCCCACAGCGCCTGGCCGGCTCACCTGGGCAGGCTCAGGAACCCGTCCCTTCCAGACCCAGCAAAGGCGCCGGGCTCGAGGCCCGACTGCAGCCTGCCCTGGGCGCCCAATGCCAGGAGCTGGCATCCATCAGAGCGGGGCTCTTCCTGCCAGGCGTCTGTTGAGATGAGCCCCCTCACTCTGAGCCCCCCTCCCCCGGGAGGCCCCTTACCTTTCTTCTTCTTCTCCTCCTCGTCATCCTCACTGGCCCCCAACAGAGTGAAGATGATCCCGGCCTGCGAGTTGACACCCACAGCGGTCACCACCATCCGGCCAGAGCCTTCCATGACGTGGGTCCCTACACGGGAAGGGAGTTGGGCTTCCAGATCCAGCCACGACGTGGCACTAGACACCAACGCCCCACCACGTTAGTAACGCCGAGACACTCAGCCCTGACTTAAGGAACAGAGCACGTGCAGGAGGCGGACGGAGGCGACCCTGAGGGCAGGGCATGGGACGGAGCCCGAGGAGGGGGCAGGGTCTGGATCCCGGGCCGAGGCAGGGGCCCTACCTGAGAGCAGCATGGGGTCTTTGTCCAGGGACTTCGGGACATGGTAGGACTGCCCCATGAGAGAGCTCTCGTCAATCTTCAGGTCATTCCCCTGGATCAAGACTCCGTCGGCTGGCAGCAGGTCACCTGGCAGGCACAGGGGAGCAGTGACGGAGCCGGAGGCGAGGGCGGGGGCCGCCCCCAGCGCCTCCATGCCCGCTCAGCCCTCCGATCACCAGGGAGCACCGGGGAGCCCCTCAGAGCCAGCTTCAGCTCTGTGCAGAGCAGGACAAGACCACCTGCCTGCAGTCGGCGACCCCAGCTCCCGTCGCTCTCCCTATACCTTCCCAGGCCTGAATCTCACAGAGCCGCTCACAACCCCACAACACGGTGCGGGCCTGCCAGTCACCCACAGAGAATCCGTTCCCAGGGAAGCGAGCACGTGTGTGTGTAGGGGGGGGGGGTCTCACCTTTCAGCCACTCCCAAGCCCCCTTGGGCGCGAGCGGGCTCTTACCGTACTTGATCTGGGCGATGTCGCCCACCACGATGTCAGCCACCGGCAGCTGGATGAGCTGGCCGTTGCGGATCACGGAGAACTTCTGCTCCTGCTCGATGCGGCTCTGGAGGCCCCGGAACTGCTTCTCCTTGCTCCAGTCGTTGAAGGCGGTCACCAGCACCACGATGATCACCGAGAACAGGATGGCTGCCCCCTCGATCCAGCCGGCTTCCGCCTCCCCTTCATCCTCCGCGCTTTGTGCAATCTGACCACACACTGTGCCGGGGGAGGGAGACAGAGGGTCACCAAGGGGCTGGGGGGGGACTGTGGCACCATCCCCCCACGATGGCACGGCAGGGAGGGGGAGGAAGAAAGCGGAACCCTTAGGCTATCACAGGGCAGTGGGATCATGGGGTGTCTCATCACCAGGGTAACAATGTTTATCCGAGAGAAGCACAGGACCGAACGGCAAAAAAAAAAAAAAAATCCCATGCAAATTACAGGCAAGTCACATAGACAGACCTGGTGACTCCCAACACGGTGGGGGCCCCAGGGCTGCTGCCCGGCGTGCCAGCCAGCTGCCGGGGGCCCTCGGAGAGGCAGGGCCGAGAAGCTGGTGGGTGGGGGGACCCTGGACATTCTGGGGGAGGGGGAAAGACCTCCGAGCGGGAGGATGGGTCGGAGAAAGAGCTTCCTGTCTCTGGGCAGCGGGGGTTAAGCTTTACGCTGCAGCCCCTTGACCACCAACCCCGGGGGGCTCCCTGGTGGTGGGGACGAGAACCCCGGGACCCGGCCAGGCCACGGGTGGCACTCACGCTCATTTTCTCCGCCGGGCGGGCGATAGAAGGACAGGACCAGGGAGATGATGACCGCCATCTCCAGGATGATGAGGGTGACGCCTTGGGCTTCCCACATCAACTCTAAGAAGGTCTTGGGCTTTTTGGGGGGGATCAGGTTCTGCCCAAACACCTGCCTGCGTTTCTCCAGGTCGGTAGGGTTCCCAGAGAGACCTGCAGAGGAGGAAGGGGAGGGTGGGCTGTGGTGGAATGAGAAGGCCATGCCAAGGTGGCCACTGGCAAGCGAGCGTCAGTTACTCAGGAATGGCTTTGAAACCCACCTGGCAGCGGAGCCTGCCTGGCAACAGATTGTGATTGGATGGCTTTGGAAACTGCCTGCCAACAGGCTGTGATTGGATGGATTTGAAACTGCCTGGCAACAGGCTGTGATTGGTTGGGGCATAGACCGCCCCTTGACCAGATTGGCTGGTCTTGGCTATATAAGATGTTGTAGTAACTGAAATAAACGAGTGGGCTGCTCGCCTGAGGCCTGCTTTCACCCAACTCCTGGAGTCTGTGTGGTGACTCCATGCCTCTTGCCCCCACCACGCTGCTCCTCTCAGAAACGAATCCACTGCAACATTGTTGAGAAATCAACCGCAACAGGGGGCGACCCAGGAGGGGGCAGCTAAAGAACTCTTTTTGACAAAGCGCCTCTTGCTTCCTGGTCTTCCCACCCGGGAGGCCCAGTGAGTGTGGCCAACTTTCCCAATCTGCCCAGGACCGCAGGGTCTAGAACCTTCCAGCTCAGGACGGGCGGAGTGGGGCTGGCTGGCCGCAGGCGCCACTCACACCTCCCGTATCTCAGAGAGGCCAACCCAGGCGTAGGGCTTCTCCGGCTTCTCATCGGGTGCCCTCTGGGCGCCGACCCCGGGAACAGCAACATTGAAACGGTTCTCAGGCTAACATGAGGACGCTGCCCAGGATTTGAACAGGGCCGGCCTCCGTCCACGGGCTTCACGCCAAGGCCGTGGGCAGTGCAGGTGCCGCCGGCCCTTGAGACCCGAGGCGCTCACTCACTGGGGCAGAGGCTCCGAGACCGTCAGCCCTGCAGCTCGGCCACACACAGCCCGGGGAGAGGTCCAATGTCCCAGCAAGTCCCAAGCCCTCGGAATGTGCTCAACAGGTACAGAGAAGCACCGCTAAGAGAGGGGAGGCTGTGACCTGTTCAGATACCCCCCAGGCCAGCACTGCGCACACCCTCCCCAGTGACACACACCCCACATCACACACACCACACCAACACACAGCACTTGGGATCTCACTGTATACAATCCCCACCCGGCACACCACACAGCACACACACATGGTCCACAACACCCCCACCCCGGCACACATGTCCTAAGAGTTCTCGAGCCCCTCTCCCAGCCCCGGGCGGGGGGGCTCCTCTCTAAGGGAAGCCCTCGTGCAGTGACTAACGCCCGCCGGCTCCAGCATGCTGTTTACACAGAGCAGTGAATGAGTCCTGGTTTGGCACTGGGAGCTCTTGGCTGCCCGGCTGATGGGTTCCCCACAGGCAGGGTGGGGCCGCGTGTTTGAGTACAGGTCAGCAGCTGAGCGGGCTTGGTCGGCGGAGGAGACTCGCGACTCGCACACCCCGCTGGGCTTCACCCAGGCGGCGTGCACCAGGCAACACCAGCGGAGGGCTGGCAGCCCAGGGTGACACAGAGGACCTCACGGCCGGCCCGCTGCGGGGGCGCGAGCACAGAACCAAGGGTGCAACTCGAAGGACAAGGATGTGGGTGAGATCTAAGGCCAGACGAGATTTTGAAAATGGGAAAACAGGAACTCACAGGAATACTGTTGCAGGGCCTACAACAGCCCCCAGGCCCCACCCTAAAAGCAAAAGCCACGGGCAGGGGTCCTGTCTGGGAAGGCAGTCGCCGGGGAGGCCGCCTGGACGCCTTGCTGGGAGAACTCTCACTGGCCAGTGCTGGGGGGGGGACACAGGGGCTGGGCGGGGTGAGGGGGCGGAGTCCGTGTTCCTCCCCAGGGCGGCCCCCCCTCACCGTGCCCAAGTCCTTCACCCTGGCCAGAGTCCCGCAGGGAGGCACCCCTGCCTCCGCTGCCCTGAGAAGCCAGGTTCCCAGTCTGGAGGGAAAGCAAGGGCCTGGGAAAGGAGAATGGGGCAGGGCCTCAGGGTCCCCAGGCAGGCAGGGGCAGGCCGAGTGGCCCGAGGCCAGGGCCTGGCCGCCTCATGCCCCCCAGGGACTGGGCTGGCAAGGCTGTGACGAGTGGCGACTGCCAGGGTTGGTCACTTGTTAATGCACCTGGGCTTCTTCCTGAAGCGGACCCCCGTGTGGAGGGAGGGACGCCCTTCCTTCACTCACATGGCCAGTGGATGATGGTGGGGCAAACCAGGACGGCAGATATTAAAAGACATGCAGAGAGCTGGATGGAAAATGGAACAGCCGGGTCTTGAACTGGCGCCCATATGGGATGCCGGTGCTTCAGGCCAGGGCTTTAACCCGCTGCGCCACAGCACCGGCCCCCGCCTTGGATCTTAGCAAAGCTCCTCTGGCCACCGAGTTGATAACAAGGTACAAGGGTGGAGTGGAGGCGAGGAGAAGTCGCCTGCCATAATTTGGCCAGAGCAACAGCAGTGGGCGGGGGGGTGGCCGGACTTTGGTTGTACTTTGAAGGTAGAGCTGGTGGGACTTCCGCCTGCAGCACATGGGGCTGGGAGAGAGGAGGAGGACCCTGCATGTCTTTTAATATCTGCCGTCCTGGTTTGCCCCACCATCATCCACTGGCCGTGTGAGGGAAGGAAGGGCGTCCCTCCCTCCACACGGGGGTCCGCTTCAGGAAGAAGCCCAGGTGCATTAACAAGTGACCAACCCTGGCAGTCGCCACTCGTCACAGCCTTGCCAGCCCAGTCCCTGGGGGGCACGAGGCGGCCAGGCCCTGGCCTCGGGCCACTCGGCCTGCCCCTGCCTGCCTGGGGACCAGAGGCCTGGGAAAGCATGAGAAGATGGCCCAAGTCCTTGGGGCCCTGGCACCTGCGTGGGAGACCCAGAAGAAGCTCCTGGTGTCCGATCGGCATAGTTCTGGCCATTGCAGCCATCTGGGGAGTGAACCAGCGGATAGAAGACTTCTGTCTCTACCTTTCTCTGTAACTCTGTCTTTCAAATAAATAAAAAGACCCAAGGCAGGACATGTGACGTGTCCGCTCAGAGCCATGTGGTGGCTTTTACTGGGGGGTAAAACTGGGTACCAGGGACCTTGTGATGCCCTCCCAGCCCCCCGAGAGTCCCCAGGCCCTCAGCCCTGGCCCCCTCCTACTCACCCCTGGCTCACTGCCACGCGGCCAGCTGGCCTTCCTGCTGTTGTGGGAACGCACCGCACAAGCCATCCCTGCGCCGTCCCACGGGTCTCTGAGCTGCTCCACCCAGCACCCCCAGTCACCCCCATCTTGGCGGTTGCTTCCCCCGACAAGGGCTGTCACCTCGCAGGTGACATGATGTGGTCTCTGGGGGTCTGTCTGAGCCCTCCACGGGGGCAGGCAGCCTGGGTTCCCCGGGCCTACAGCAGTGCCTCCTCCGCCACGCACACGCAGATCGCTGAATGAAAGGAGCGAATGAGTAACAAAGTGGAGACTGGGTGCCAGACGCTTCCGGCACACCCGTGCCTCTCGTTCAAGCACCACGAGGGCAGCTACTCTCAAACCCACTTTACATGGAAGCAAGCCGAGGCCTGGCGAGGCGGTGCCACTCTGTGGGCTAGGGAGCGGCAGTGTCTGTACCCCGGGGAGGTGGCTCGATGCCCACTGGGGGCAGCCGCGCTCAGCTGAGGCTTCGGTCTTATGTGAGCAGCCTGTCCCAGCCGGCCCCAGACCTGCCAGGCTTTGCACTGAGGCTGCTGCCTGCTGGGAGCCGCCCTCCCTCGCCCCACTCCTCACTCCACGGGGCAGGCCCCACGCCGCCCCCACTGGACGCATTTGGGGGCAGTCGATCCTGTCTTCCTGTCTCAGGGGTGGGGGACATCTAGGCGGTCGGATCTAACCTGTAGGCCTGTTTTGGGCTTAAGAGAGAGAACAAAGTGAGACCTTAGGGTCAGCCTCGCCCTTGCCTCGATGCCCCCAGTCACACCCCTGCTTCCTCTCTGCCATGTCTTCTCATCTCTGCTCCACCTTAAGCCGTTCTGCGCTCAGACCGCAGCTGCCTAAAGAAGTCAAGTGTCTGCCCAGTTCCCAGCCTGCCCTGCAGCAGGGCAGGGCAGGTGGAGCCCTGGGAATCCTCTCTGCCATGTGGCCTGCACGGGGAAGCCATGTGGGCCTGGGAGCCCGGCCAATCCCCAATTTTGGGCTTTTCCATTCCAATTCTTTCTGCCCCAGGAGGCTCTCCGGCCCGGTCTCAGCAGCTGTCATTTCACACACATGCTTGTCCCGCCCCGGGAATCCCGGAGAGGGGAGAGGGTTTCCCCTCTTAGAAATCCACCAGGAGGCCAGCACCGCGGCTCACTAGGCTAATCCTCCGCCTTGTGGCACCGGCACACCAGGTTCTAGTCCCAGTCGGGGCTCCGGATTCTGTCCCAGTTGCCCCTCTTCCAGGCCAGCTCTCTGCTGTGGCCCGGGAGTGCAGTGGAGGATGGCCCAGGTGCTTGGGCCCTGCACCCCATGGGAGACCAGGAGAAGCACCTGGCTCCTGCCATCGGATCAGCGCAGTGCGCTGGCCGCAGCGTGCCGGCTGCAGCGGCCATTGGAGGGTGAACCAACGGCAAAAGGAAGACCTTTCTCTCTGTCTCTCTCTCTCACTGTCCACTCTGCCTGTCAAAAAAAAAAAAAAAGAAAAAAAAGAAATCACCGGGGGGGGCCAGAGTGGGAGGGCGCCGGCCCCACCCAGCCCCGGAGGACTCCTGGCTCTGAGAACCCCACGGAACCCCTGCCCGGGAAAGGCAGAGAGTGTTGGGCGGTGAAGTCACTGCCCCAACCCGAGCCTGGGGGGGCGGGGAGTCACTGCCGGCACAGGGGGCGCGGGAGGACATTTGTGTGCGCTGAGAGCCTGCGCAGGACCCAGGGCCTGGGAAGAGAAGTGGATGGTGAGCGGGATTAGTTCTATCTTTCTTTCTTTCTTTCTTTCTTTTTTTTTTTTTTTTTGATTTATTTATTCGAGAGGTAGAGTTACAGACAGAGAGAGGGAGAGACAGAGAGGCTTTCCATCCGCTGGTTCACTCCCCAGGTGGCAGCAATGGCCAGAGCTGGGCTGATCAAAGCCAGGAGCTTCTTCTGGGTCTCCTACGCAGGTGCAGGGCCCCAAGC